ATCCTGTAGACGACCCCAGATGTTTCTTGCCGTGGTAGTGGGTCTTTCGGCTACATTAGCTGACGCCTTATGGTTGCCTCCGGCCTATGTGCGACTCCAACTCCAAGTGGTGCGAGAAAACGGCCGACGGCTTCCGATACGTATTTGATGTACGGGATCGCTTGCCAAATATTTGTTTAATACGGGTCACACTATGGTGACCAAAAAATCCTTTTGAGTACTTTTTTGGGCACGAACAATTCGTACATTGTGCTACCTTGAGGTGGCCTGTGAAGGGCGGGAGGAACCCGAGCGATGTAAACAGTCGGAGCACGCAGTTAACCTAACTTTGCCTTGGCAACCTCCGGCTACTAGATTTACGCATTTCTCCCCCTGCTTTTTGCCTAAACATTTTCCCCTGCTTTTGTTTACATAGGGTGTTTTAAATTGCTAAATTTATTGATTAACCTACGTGGCAGTATTTCGTGGCATTTTTTTGCATCGATTTTTCTGCACAAATTCAAATTGTTGCATTATTCCGCATTCGTTTCTAATGTTATGCAGCAACAAGCAGCAGCGGACGAGCGGCCGCGAACATTTTTTCGCTCTAATAAGTCCTACGTGCGTTAAGTTTTCACTAGGGAAACAAATGCTCCACAAATAGAGTAAAATCATCATTTACGGGCAATCGATTTAAGACACTGAAAAGCATCAAGTATTAATCGCTATTTCGAAATTCTGAAATTCGCCTGACCACAAAGAGAATTTGGCGGAAGGAAAGTAAACTAACTCGTGCTTGTTGCAGCTGCGATCATGACTGATCTAGCCGGCCTCAATCATGTCCCGTACGGTGCTTCTCCACGCGCGACGATCCGTGGCCGCAGACCTGGACAGTTTGGGCCATTCTCTTCGCCATCGCCCGCCCCGAAGACTGAATACCGAAGGTTCAATTAACACTTCCATGTCCTGACGGAGGACTGAGTTGAGCCAGGTTTTGAGCTGACGCCATCTTCGACGTTTCAAACTAGGTAACGGTTTCAAACAAAGGGCAGTAACACTGAACTCCTGTCGTTGACGACGAAGGACGTGGCCAAGCCACCTAAGTCGTCTTTCTTGAATGGCTTGGGATACCCTTTTGATTTTTTCGCAGCTAGTGCGGACTGTCTCATTTGAGGCGAAATCGGTGTACTTCACTCGAAGGATGGTCTTCAAGCAGAAAAGGTCAAAGACTTCCCGCTTCCCTTCATCTGCCACGCATATAGCCCAGCATTCGCATCCTTATAGAAAAACAGACCGTACCGGTGTACGGTATACGCGAGCCTTTGTGGAAATCAAAATATCGTGTCCGGTCAGTAGGCACTTTCCAAGGCTGGATAAAACTCGTCGAGCTGCGTCAATTCGGGAGACAATGTCATCGTTACTCCGTCCATTTGGCAGCATCCTCGCCCAGAGGTATTTGAAATTGTCTACTTCTTCAATTTAACAAGCACTTATCTCAAGAGGTGCCTTCTCTTGGGTAGGAATGCAGCATGAAAACACTTTGGTCTTCCCAGCGTTTATGGACAAATTGACCGATTTCGCGACCTCAGTTTTCAACTGCATCGAAGTATTCGATTTAAATTGATCAAATAAGGCTTTCTTTTGAGGCCGCAAGAACACAAATGTTAACCGCCCAAAGGTCTTACGGAATCCGCGATTATCGGCGTAATGCATGATGAATGAACAGGTAATGCGTGTAATGCAGTGTAAAAGACACTTTAAAGTCGCTTAAAACTGTTTTAATCAAATAAAGTCGTAGGGGTAGCGAAAGCGTGCAGGTAAAAAAAACTATTAGAGCAACCCTACAGGTTGATAAACAGAAATTTTGACCAAGGAAACTATAAGAGCAACTTCTTTCGCCATTAAGTTAGTCATAAAATGTAATGAAGGAAGCCAATTTCCATTAGGCAGCCTCACAAGACAGGTCTACCACAACACGCCCTGTCAGCATGTGAGTTTATGAAGAATTTAATTTCTTAAGAAGAACACGCGACCACGGGAGCAAGAGTTTTATGTTCCTGACGTTTCGGATTCCGTCGGGAATTCTTAATTATAGGTAATGGTAGCATATTCTGAGTCATGCGCAGATAGGGGTGAAACTTGCACAGGTTGCACGGTATTTATAATTTGTAGCGGTCATCTGCGTGCGTACGATAATTATCCACTCATGTCGTCACCGTTTCGGTCTTAATTGGTGCGGTGATGGCTTGAAACTTTGCCTTTGACTCATCAATCACCATGATTTCCTTGCCCGTGTCGGATGCGGGCTTGGTGATTGCGTGACAATTATGCTTTTTGTCGTCAGAGTTGCTGGACCCGGCCCTTCCCACGTGACTGATTCTCTTGTTCAGGCAATGTTTCAGTACGCAATATGGAAACGCGAAACCTTTGCGCTTGTTGATGGACTGGGGCCTGAGAACCATGACTCGAGCAGCTCGCGGCTCACGCAGTTATCACCTCTTGCGAGGAGTTCGGCCTCATCAAACTTAAAAATGTGGCCGGGTCAGGTCGAGTGAGCTGCAACCTAGAAGTCGGCGTCCTTCTTTCTCACCACCGCTGCATGCTCGGCCATTCGCGTCCGAAGTAAACCCAGTTTCTCCGCCGTAGTTGCTTCGCCCACAACTGCACCAGATCCGGTAAACTAGCCTGCGCGCAACTCCAACTCCAAGTGGGGTGAGTAGACGGCTGACCGCTTCCGATACATGTTTCACTTACGGAAGAGCTCGCCAAACGTTTGGACCAGTTGGACTTGGCTTCTTCCCTCGCTTGCGTATGCAA